GTAAGCAAGCTCCTCACGGTCGGTGGTCCAACAAATATGGGAGAATTACCACTTTGGTTCTTATTGGACGGAATCCCTTCCCAATTCTATTCCTGCATATGTGGGGCTTGTGAGTGCGCTCCTGCATCATTGAACCAATCAAATTTCTAATCAAATGAGCTGAAAATATTTTTTAGTTGGTTATATACTAATAAAAATCAATGATCAGGAGCTTTGGCCAAAATGATGGCTATTGGGAACAATAGGACAAACTGTTTGGAGGTCGACCATCCTAAAAAATTTTGGACCTAGTTTGGCAAATAGGCTGACACCTACTAATTTATGGAGCTTAGACGATTTGTTGCGAAGTTGAGCAGTTGACCTGACCCATGCAGGGTGGTTGATTTTAGCTTGTAGTGGTTGTTAGCTCTGAATAAAACCGATCGACCTATTTCTTTTAAATTAATTTGTTATTGCTGGGAATTAGCTTTTTAAAGTATACAAGATGGTCAAAACCAAATATAAGAATTTAATGGTATTTTATGATTAAAACAAGTAAAGTATGCACCCAAGTTACATTAAATAACTTGTATGAAAAGGTTGGCAACTTAGTTGTGCTCATATTTTTGCCCAAAGCTAAAAACAATAACACACGTAAGATTGAAACCTAGACTTGGCCAGTAATAATTTTTTCTTGATTGTGTTACTTTGGTTTCTCCTCGGCAGAACCTTGCTTAAAAATAGGAAAAACATGGTTAGTTGATTAATTGTATGATTTTGTCTAATGTTTTGCATGTTCTTTCTTTTCCTGTGAACATTTTCTCCATTAGTGTCATCATACTCCAATTAAAATGCATTGTTTCATTTGATCTTCCAAATGTGATCTTTCTTGAGAAGGGGACTGGTCGAAGACTTGGGACTGGCATGTGGCATAGTGGACTTTGATACTTGGATAGAGAGGGAATGAACTCAGCCTTGACATTCATGATTGAGAATGCTGGAGCAGGGGGTCTGAGAGGAGTGTAGAGGATGTTTTGCTACCACATCACAGACGCATGAGACACTCTTTATTTAGTCTATTGAGTTGTTTGTATTAATCTTTGTAGAAAAAGACAAATAAACAGAAACTTGATGCTTGTGAGTTTGGTAAGCATATCCGGGAGCTCTTATGTTAGTTTTTGTGCACTAAGATGTATGAGAACCTTGTAATACAACTTCTATGGATGGTTACAAATATTTTGTCTTTCATCGATTGTATACTTGTCAGCCCGAGAGATATAAGATCAAACTACATGTCCATTCACACCGACACAAAATGGAGTAGCTGAGAGGAAATATAGACACTTTCTAGAGGCAACTCGAAGCATAATGATCACGTTGAGTGTCCCAAAGCACTTGTGGGGGCAAGTAGTTTTGACAACGACTCAATTGATCAACAGAACGCCCTCAAGAGCATTGGATTGGAAGTCTTCTTATCAGATGTTGAAAGGAGATAATAGAGGAATCCTCCCATTGAAGGTTTTTGGTTGTGTATGTTTTGTGAAAGACAACGGACCATTTTTAGGAAAACTAGATCCTAGAGTTATGAATTATGTTTTCACGGGTTATTCAACTACTAAAAAAGAGTATGTTCGTTGGAGTCTGATAGAGAAAAGACTATTTGTGAGTATGAATGTGTCCTTTAGAGAGTTCGAACCGTACTACACTTTGGAGGTGGCCTTACCCTTTGGTGACTCATCAGATACTTGATGTATGAGACTTGAGGGGGAGAGTAGTGATGGTCAAAGATTGGTGCATGTGGGAATGTTGCCTTGTCCTGTTGTGTGGGAAGGATCAGCTGAGGAAGAGCCGAAAAATGAGGAAAATGAGCCTGAAGATGGAGGGATTCAAACTCAAAGGGAGCTAAGAGTGTATACGAGGAGGAGGAGGCAGAATGAGGGAACAATGTCTGTTGTCCCACTCGTGCCATCAAGTCCGGGAACCGTGCTTACCGTGGTACTCGTGCTATCAAGTCCGTTGCTCTAGTCTACCCCGACTCCTGTGACACTTACACCATTCACTTCAGAATTTGATTACCTAGGTGATATGATTCCTCTCCCTTCTCCTCCCACTCCCATGGCTTTAAGGAGGACTGCTCGCAACAATGCTGTTCGTTCTCATGATCGTTATTTTCCTGATTGTTTTAGTTTCTCACATGACATTGCTTAATTTCTCCATACTATAACTTATCATTTATATACAGAACATTCATTGCATCTTTAGACACAATCTCTTTACCCAAGTGAAGGCAGGTAGCTAAGGAGGATCCAAAGTGAAAGGCTGGCATGCTGGAGGAACTTGGTGTTTTCGATAAGAACAGGACGTGGGAGATAGTATCATTACTCGTGGGGAAAAGAGCTGTTGGGTGCAAGTGGATATTCACAGTAAAACAAAATCCAGAAAAGAAGTTAGTGTTACAAGGCATGATTGGTGGAGAAAGAATACAGTCATGCATATGACATTGACTATGACGAGACATTTGCACCGGTAGCAAAGATGAGCACAGTGAGAACACTAGTTTCTCTAGTTGTGAATGATGGGTGTAGTTTACAACAACTTGATGTGAAAAATGTCTTTCTTCATGTTGAGTTACTGGAGGAGGTGTATATGGACATACCATTAGGATTCGGTACAAGTCAAACAGTGGGCATGATGTGTAGGCTCAGGAAGTCGCTTTATGACTTGAAGCAATCTCCTGGACCCTGGTTTGACAAGTTTAGAAAAACTACGGTGGACATGAGATATCAGCAGATCAATGCGGATTATTTGGTGTTTTTTCGTCAAAATTGTGGTCACATCACTATGCTTGTTGTGTATTTTGATGATATGATTATCACTTGTGATGATGAGACAGAGATTGCTCAGTTATATATTAAATTAGGCAAAGATTTTGAGGTGAATGGCCTTGGAGAGCTCAGATACTTCCTTGGGGTTGAGGTGGCTAGAGGACTAGAGTGGATTATCTAATCTTAGAGAAAGTATGTATTAAATCTCCTCACATAAACCGACATGCTGGGATGCAAGCTTGTAGTTTTTCTAATTGATTAGAAGACCTAGTTAAGTGCAGAGGCATGAGATTCAGTTGATCGTAAGAGATACTAGTGATTGGTGGTTTATCTGAGTTACACGTGTCCCAACATCTCATTTGTAGTGACAGTGGTGAGCCGCTATATGCATGATCCAATGAAGGGTCATATGGATGCAGTGTATCAGATTTTGAGTTATCTGAAAAATGCAATCTTCAGGAAGAACGGACACGTAGACGTTGAGGGCTATTGTGATGATTGGGCGAGTTGTACATATGATAGAAGCTCCACCTCAGGATACTACATGTTCGTAGGTGGCAACTTGGTTTCTTGGAAGAGTAAGGAACAATCTGTAGTAGCGAGGTCAACAACAGAGGCAGAGTACAGGGCCATGGCCTTAGGAGTTGCCAAGATGATGTGGTTGAGAGCCTTGTTGTTTGAGCTCAAGGTGGATCGAGGAATTCAAATGAAGTTATGGTGTGACAACAAGTCAACAATCAGCATTGCCAACCACCCGATTCAACACGATAGAACCAAACATGTGGAGATTGATAGATTCTTCATCGAGGAAAAACTAAACGGGCTTCTGGAGCAAAGTCAGGTAGCCACTGGACAACCTCACTAAAGGAGTTAGTTCATTAGATTTGTCTAGATTATGTGACAAGATGAGCTTAGTTGATATCTTTTGCCTATCTTGAGGGGGAGTGTTGTATATTATTTTGAGGGGGAGTGTTGAGATTTGTATATTATTTTGAAGGTTCTAATTGTAAATAGGAAATATAGAAGAAGTCGAGGGTTTATTTGTAAAATGATTATAGGGCTCTATAGATACCCTACTCATGAATGAAGGGAAAAACATTTTGCCAAATTTTTTCTTCAGACATCTATCTCAAAAATTACTTTTCATTGTAGTGAGAAAGTTTTCTTATTGACTAGAATGAGATTTATTATTATTATTATTTAGAATTAGATGCTTAAAGTATGTTGAAAGTTCTCCTTTAAAGGAAAATATAAATAAGTTTGACAATCAGGAGAATTGAATTTGGACCTATAACTTTGCATGCAGTGATATTACTTCTAGAACTTGCTGAGTTTCTTACATCACTTTTACAGGAATATTTTCAGAATTTACAGGCTATAATAATGTTAACGTGGTACTTTCAGATATGGTAGCTGATGTAAGCAGTTTTCCTAAGTATTGAGAATTTTTCTGGTTCTACCCGCTCTTAGGATCTTTTTAGGACACTTTCTTTCTGCTTTGCTTTGTCTTTCAGACTACCACTACAATTCCATTAGGAGAATTTTTTTTTCTTGCTACTTTCTAGAAATTTATGTGACGGGATGCTGATTTTTTCAACCTGATCTGCTGAATTGTGGCAGCTGTAAGAAAGTTGTTGTTTGAACTTTTTGAACAAAATATATATTTATAACTCCCACCTCAATTTTCTAAGAAATTATTTTCTCCATCAAAACTTTACAACCACATCTTTTAAATGTTATAGTCACCCCAAATTACCTCATTCCAAGTAAACATGCTTTCATGCTGACTTACCTATTGCTTTATTAAAAAAGGACTCGCTGAAACTTTTTCTTGTTGTATTTTGTTTTAAAGATTAAATGTTTTCATCTTTTGCACTCCATGCAATTTTGTCATCCCCTTCTCAGATGTCATCTCCTACACCTCTTTACCCTGCTATTCTGAAGTATTTACACATCTAAACACCTAAAGTATGGTATTTCCCTTTGGTTTCATGAACCTATAAATGAAAAATGTATACATCACTTTAGAAAAAAAATATTTGTATTGGTATTTTTTGTATGACATTAAAGGTTAGTCAGGTGCCTAAATATGAAAATTTATGGTGCTACACATGTAAATACTTAAGAATTGCATTGTATAATGGTGCTACACATGTAAATACTTAAGAATTGCATTATATATATATATATCTGTAAAAGCTTCTTACTCTCATCTTCACCTGGTTACAGCCATGAATGACAATCTGAAGAACGAAGTTGAGAGGCTGAAGATCATAACCGGCGAAACAACGATCTCCGGCGAAGCAAACAAAGCAATACCAAACCCCTTGTCCTTCAACCCCTCCTTCTTCTCCAACCCCCAACCGCCGCCATCCCTCCCTCACCAACCCATCCATCTCCCTCCTCCTTTCCATCCGCCCCAATATGCCGCCGCAGCCGCCGCCCCCACCTCCGCATCCTATTTCCCTCTGCTCTCCTACTCTCACCTTCTCGGTGCCCCGATCCCTCACGACCATCTCGGCAGACTCCAGCGATCAGATTTCAGCAAAGCTGCTCTCAGAATCAAAGCTGAAAGCTGCTCTTCCCTATCAGCTGGTGAGAGCAGCAGCAACTTCTGATTTCATGGGGGTTAGTGTCACACAATCCTCTCTCTATAAATATATATGCTGTGGACCCCATCTATTATAATGCATGCATGTTTATAAGATTTCCTGACATATTCATTATTCTTCTTTCATTGCGACCTTTGTTTTTGCATTCTATTTGTTTAATTTTTGGATACTATATTCCTATATTGATTTACAGTTGTTCTATTTGTTTATAAACTATATGTCTTGGAGATTTTGCTTTATTCATTTGGGGGCATTTATATACATACCACACAATTCTATGTATTTACATATCTGACCCCCAAACTTTCATATTTCCATACATAGCATTCACAAAATGTTTAATATCACAACAAATAGCACTATTACCGTGTGTTAAATGTGAAATTCACCTTTTTGTTTATAGGTTCAAGGCACTAAAGTGTTGTGTATGAATCTTAAAGTTTAGGTGTGAGATATGTAAATACATATGAATTGTGGTTAGGGCGAACACGAGCTGTTCACGAACAACGAGCCAAATTGACAGCCCTAATTGTGGTGTCTGGATTTAAATTTCCCTATTTATTTATAGGAAGATTTACATGCTTCTCCTTCAATTCCTGTGTATTTACATATCTAACACCCAGACTTAGATACTTATTTTCATATCTCTCAATTACCATGTGTTTTCATATTTAAAAAATTAAAATTGTGGTGTTTAATGTAAAAAAATAAAATGTATGTGTTAGATTTGTAAATATATAGGTATTTTGTGTTGTGCAAATTATTTTTAAAAAAGGTTTAATATAATATTGAGATAGTTTGAGTATTTTGAAAGACAATTATTATTGTTGCTAACCACCTACACTAGAACACACTCTAGCTTTGGAAAAATTATTCTATACAGATCGTGTATGCAGAGATGTATGCGCCGTCCGATCTCCGCTTTTAATAAGCCCACCGAAATACAACTTTGATCTGATCAATGGTGTAGATCGGACGGCGCATACATCTTTGCATACGTCGGGTCCGTATGCAATAGTTTTTCCTAGCTTTGTAAATACTATTTAAAAGTGAAATCCAACTTTTTATGCATCATTTAAATTTTAAAGCACTAGAGGGCTATGTATGTAAATATGAAAGTTTGAGTATGAGATATGTAAATACATGAGAATTGTTCGCTAGAAGTGTAAGTTTACTAATAAATAAATATATTATGCCCCAATTTTGCATGTAGTAAAAAAACAAATTTCCAAAAAAAAAAAAAAACATGCCTACCAACTTATTAAAGTGAAATTTGGTTTAATATATTTCATAATAGATAAAATTAGATAAATATATTCATTATATGTTAATTATTCAAATATTTGACTTAAAATATTTATGGATAATCAAAATATTCGGCCATGCAAAACCACACTTTTAGCACTAAAAAAAATTGAATCGATGATCAACAAAAAAAAAAAAAAAAAAAAAAAAAAAAAGTAAATTTTGTCTCATTTATCATAATACTATACTCTTTATAATATTCTTTTTATGGATCTATGCATCATCAAATAATTTTTTATCTTGAGATAATGTTTCGAGCAAAAAATATATTTTAATTCAAATTAATGATCTTAGATTTTAGTTAGTTTAGAGTTAAATTGACAGTTTTGACAAAACGAACCCAATGATATTAGAAATAGTCTAATCTGAGTTCAATTAAGTTCAGATCAGTCAATTAAAGCTCATTTTTAGGCTTCACATCATTAATTGAATGACAAATAAATTTTAAATTTGACATAGTTATAGTCAAATAGAGCGTCTCGACGAGAGGAATGCAATGAGCTTAGAATCATTCAATTTTGAGGTCATCAAGGACTTTAATCATCAAACTAACCCTATGATTAAGGAGAATCAATGTGCGTCATGCAATCAGGCGGGTATGAGGGTTATTTGTCGGATGATCAAAATGTCCCTCCTCGGTGGCTATATATTGACCTCTTCTCTTCACTTGGTAAATAGTCTAATCTGAGTTCAATTAAGTTCAGATCAATCAATTAAAGCTCGTTTTTAGGCTTCAGGTCATTAATTGAATGACAAATGAATTTTAAAGTTCACATACTTATAGTCAAATAGAGCGTCTCGACGAGAGGAATCAATGGGTCATTAATTGAATGACAAATGAATCATTCAAATTTGAGGTCATCAAGGATTTCAATCATCAAACTAACCCTATGATTAAGGAGAATCAATGTGGGTCATTCAATCAGACGGGAATGAGGGTTATTTGTCTGATGATCAAGATGTCCCTCCCCGGTGGCTATACATTGGCCTCTTCTCTTCACTTAGGATGAGGATGAGAATGAGTTAAATTCCAGTGTTGTTCTGGACCGAAAACTCGTCAATAAGTTCCGACCATCGTCGACCATCACCTACTAGTCACCGCCAAGCGCGCTTTGCTCGTTGATGTCATCAAATTTTAGTGTGAAACAAAGTATCCCAAGTACAGGGTAATGAAATATCTTGAATATTTTGTCATGAAGCGTCTCGAGTACATGATAACGAAGTATCCCGAATACTTTGCAATGACGTATCTTAAATGAGGTGTATCGAAGACCCAAAGGAAATGCTCGTCGGTAACCACCTACGACTGTTGTATTCATTCATAATACGGTAATTAATTTTATCTTGACTTCTAACTTCTTATATACATTATGTTGAATAAGTTTTGTACTTGGTGTAACATTATAACTCTTATTTCCTAGCTGGGGGGGGCAATATTCTATCTTTATATTTATGAATTTATATTTACAGTGATTATTTTGAGTGAGCTAGACCCTGTGATCTTTTCTCTTTCCAAGTTTTTTCACGTAAAAAATCTCTGTGTATTCTCATGTTATTTTTAAATTTTGTGTTTGTGTTGGATATTCGTACAATGCTGAGATGTTAAATTATCATTCCATCGTCACGAATTTTCTGGTATGCAACAAGTATTAAGCAATTTTAATTACCAATTAACAAACACACATATATCTTTAGCTCATGGTTTTTGGCTTGGTAGCCTAAGGTCCTAAATCCGTAGGCCAAAATGGGCTTTGATTTTATGAAGCAAGAAGCTCACACCGGCACCTTCAAGAATGAAGAGTTACTAGGTGGTCATTCACAAATATTATAACACAAGTAAAAATATTGTAATTTGCTTGTATTATTCTAGGATGAAGCCATTTCTTTTTCTTATTTTTCATGTCATTTTGATTATTTTGGGTGATCCTTCGTGAACATGAATGTCCATTTTCAATTTTCTTTGTTCCTCTTCGGCGATCGTTTGATGACACCCAGGTTTTCTCCAAAAGATTTTGGGTCGCAAACCCTGAGCGATCATCGTGGATGATTCGAGGGGAAGTTGATCATTACAACGAACTCATGTTTTTGATGCCTCTAACTAGGATCACGGGTCTTTTCTTCTTTCAAATTTGATATGTCCAACGAAAGAAGCCAGCCCATTCAATTTGTAAGGAAAGACCCCGACTTCATTCTCTTGAATACACTTGACCTTACAAAGTTTGATCTGTCTAACGAAAACAACCGACCTTTTCGATTTGCAAGGAAAGACCCTAGCTTTGTTGTCTGGAATACATTGGACCTCCTCCAAGTTCAATCTGTCTAACAAAAACAGCCAGCCCTTGCAATTTTCAAAGTAGACCCTTGCTTCATCGTATGGAATACACTTGACCTCCTTTAAGTTCAATCCGTCCAATAAAAGCAGCTAACTTTTTCAATTTTGCATGGGAAGACCCATGCTTCACCTTCTGGAATACAAACTAGAAGAAGGAAATGTGTGCCCTCCATAATAACTCAAGGAGCGATTATTGGGTGCGGAGAGCGCACGCAGCTCCGATCACATCCCACTGTCATGCACCCACTGTCATGCAGTCGCTTTGTGCGGCTGTGATCGGAGAGCGTGTGTTCTCCGCACCCAATAATTAGACCAACTCAAGGGAGGTAATTATAACCTTGAGCAAAGGGGAGAAAAAATGGAGGAATTTTTGGGAAAATCTAATTTTTTATAAATAAATATACTTTTCCTTTTATAAATAATACAAAAAGTAAAAAAAAAAATCTTATTTTCTTATCCTCTATATCATTTTCTTAAAAAAAAAAAACGAATAAAAGAAATATAAAAAAAAAGAAAGATACATGAATTTTCCAAAATTCAGCCCCAGGTGAGCTATCTAATGCGTTAGCGCGTAGGGCTGTCAAAACGGCTCATTGTTCACGAGTATATTATGTTTGGCTCGTTAAGAAGCTCATATTTGATTTGTTCGGTAAGTTAATGAGTTCAACACAAGCACTTTTTTTGTGCTCGATATATGAAAGAGCCGAACACGAACAAGGATTTGTTCGTTCATGTTCGGC